CTTTTGTCTGAGAATATTTTTGTTTCCCTTTCATTCCAGAGTGATACTTTTTGCCAGATACAGAATTCATGGTTCATAATTCTTTTTTTCTTTGTACTCGAGAAAGATGCACTACTTCCTTCTGGATTTCAGAGCATCAGATGAGTGGGAAGTGTGGTTTTCTGCTGGTTTCCGGTTGGAGTAGGGTGGATACTACCAACAAGGTTCTCTGTATTAGGCCACCCTTCTTCCTTTGGCTGCAAGGAACAGACTTTTCTCAGAGCTGTTTCTGTCTGTGCCAGTCTTAGTCATTGAGGCTATCACAGACTGGGTGGCTTACACAACACTTACTGCTCCCCGCTCCGGAGGGTGGAAAGTCCAATACCATAGTGTCTGAAGATCCAGTGTCAGGTGAGGGTCCCAGTCCTGGCTTTCAGGTGGTCATCTTCTCATAGGATCCTCACAGGGTGGAAAGCAGAGAGAGAAAGCAATCCTCATGTCTCTTCCTACAAAGACACGAATCCACATATATATATACATACGTGTATATATATATGTATGTATATGTACATATACATATGTATATTTTGAGACAGAGTCTTGCTCTGTCCCCAGGCTGGTGTGCAGTGGTGCCATCTTGGCTTACTGCAACCCCTGCCTCCCAGGTTCAAGCAATTCTCCTGCCTCAGCCTCTTGAGTAGCTGGGATTATAGGCATGCGCCACCACACCCAGCTAATTTTTGTATTTTTAGTAGAAATGGGCTTTTGCCATATTGGCCAGGCTGGTCTCAAACTCCTGACCTTGTGATCTGCTGGCCTCAGCCTCCAAAAGTGCTGGGATCACTGCACCCAGCCTGCTATATTGTTTTAACATGGTTCTTGATACCTAAAACCTGGAAGCAACACAAATGCCCATCTGTAGAAACTTATGGTTCCAAAATGGCAGTGTAGAAGCAACTGGCTTGATTCTCTCCCCCCACCAGCAAACAAATATAGAGCACCAAGATTATCACCAGCAATATCTCTGAATTCAAATATGAGGAGGAGACAATTCTTGGGGCCATGGAAAAGTGAGAAACTCCAAGCAGATAGTGTGAGAACTGAACAACACCTCTCCCTCCATCTGCCTGCACCAAGCGTGTGGAAAATCTCCCCCTACTCACGACTTCTACACTGGGAAAAGTGAGACCAACATGGACAACCAGCCTTCTCACCATCCTGGGTTCCTTGGCAGGAGATCTGTCCCTGCCAACCCACAGGAAGCATCAAAAAATTCCTCAAGGAAGAAGTATCCCTGAGGACAGCCAGAGATAAAGGGGGAGGCAGGACTACCATTCCCAGCTTTGGAAACCTTGCTTAGTAACTTGGCCAAATCCAAGTGGCTGTCCATCCACATTATACTGTAACAGGTTCATGTCACAGCTTCCCTGGTCATGAGTCCCTGGCCAGCCTTCCTACACTACTGGCATATCCTTTTGGAACCTCCCCCATTTAAGACTAGCAGCAGTTGACCAGAACCAAGGCAAACCTGGTCTTACAGCACCATCTAATGCTAAAAGGAAGGCAGAGACCTAGTTGCTGGGGGTGGG